CCCTCTGGATGGATCCCTTCCCTCCACTTCCCCCTTAAGTAAAGCCAAAGAAGTCTTTGTTTAGAATCACTGACAGAGGAGAAAAAAGTAAATGTTGCAAAACTGTGCAAATGAGAATCCATTATAAAAGGTGAAGAAAGAAAAAGAAGGGGATGCAATGGAAGCAAAGCAACCGGTCTGCGTGACGAGAGAACTCTGGGTGCAAAGGAGTAGCTGCAAAATTACCTTGGAAGTGAGAGGCACAAACAACAAGCTGTCTGTAGATGAACCATTGGAAATCTCAGAAGAAACAGGAAGAAACATTCTAAAGCAAAACACTACACCAGTGATGGTGAGAGCAAGTAACTCTGTTTCTTTCATTTCAGCCATTTAGGCTTTTCCTGAAACAAGTGAAGCATTGTAGCACAGTATTTTACACATTCATTGTAATTTTATGTTTAAGTTCTGCAAATACAGTAGATATATATTTGCATGTGTATCACTCATTGATTAGGAATCGCCACATAAGGATAAGGAGCTTCTATATGTCTGTGTGGGTGTGGGTGTGTATGTGTGTATATATAAATATAAAAATATATAAATAATTATTTCATTTTTTATTATGGCCAGTTCTGTGGTTCCTATCTGCACAACTAACAGTTACTTCCATGGGAGAACGTAAACACTCACAGAACATGGAAGACCATACCTCAAGAGTCAAGCCCCACATCTGAAGAAATCAGAAATTTCTGCTACACTATTGTATCTTAGCAAGGGAAAAGGCAGTGACTATCTCCTCATATAAATCTGAATAAAGAGAGGTTAAATAAAACAGTGACTGTTTTTCTTACCGGAGTGAGTGCTCCTTCTGCTTGAGCTTCCATAGGACTTGTAGGGGTGGCTGCAAGAAGCTGTCCAGCAGCTCCAGACACAAGTTCCAATTTATCTGTAAGCTGTTCAGAAGCAGCAGGATGACACTCCATGGTGAGAACAAATTCCGCCCCTGAGGTTTGGTTCTTGGCATGGACATTGTCTCCTGCCCAACCAGCCTGCCTGGGCTGCTCTTCCGGAGGGGACTCCTCTAGGACTTGTAGTACCTCTGGCTCCTCATCTGAGGGACTCCCAGTCAGTTTGTGCCCTAAAGCCTCATTTGTCCTGAAGTCCTGCAAATCCCGTTCCTTATCTATTATCACCCATTCCTTAGAATCAACCTCCTGCCTGCAGGAGCTTAAGTTGACAGCTACAAATCCATTGCTCATGACACCATCAGCATGTTCTGGGGAACTAGCTGACACGGGCTTTGAAGCATCTGGAAGATATTCCTCATCATAGTGCCACACGTGGTCCTTCCGGGCAGCCACAGGGGCAGGAATTGGTGTCTTCTGAGAAAGAGGAGGAGCAGCAGCAACAGGAGACCCTGCCACGGCATTCAAGTCTTTCTGCATCTTCCCCAAACTTAAGAAAAGAAGTTAATATCTGAATTAGTGAAGAATTAAACAATGTAAGCTACAAGTGAGGTTTTTCAGTAAAGGAAAATTATATAAAAAATTGTTTTCATATTTTGGAACAATCTACAATAGTTGAAAGATACAAAATTTAAGACAAATAACTCTGATGTCAAGTAAAAATGGGCAGATGGTCTCAGAAATTTGCACATATTCTAAGTGTAATTGTAATGTATCATACTGTATTGTGAATGTAATTCCCTGAAGGGAGAATAGTGAGTGGTGACCAACTCAGTGGTGAGGCTACCACCAGATGACCACTGTATTTCATTTGTGCTACAAAGGAGAGACTCAAAGTAGAATAGAAGAAACATGTCTCCAGCAGCAGCACTTAGCAGATGCTTTCAAGAATGTTATTGTTTTCATTAATTCCTTATTTATGCTTTGTGGAACTTGCTTCATCAAACAAATCCAAATTACTAATCCCTCTATGACCTATGTAGGATGTTGCCACTGACAGCATGTCAACTGTTTTCTTCCACTGTCCCTACCCATCCTCCGCCTTTCAGTGAGATTTCACTGTGTCCCTCTCCCCCTCTTTCTACGCACCAGCAAATTGACTGCATCTGTTCTCATACATCTGCCTCTCCTCAACCTTCAAATTTCATTTTAAGACCTCTGCCTTCTATCAAGACTTTTTTAAGTTGGTGCAACACCTTTAGGCATAACTAAACCTGCTGCACTCTGGTAGATTTCTGACTTTACTTCATAATTCCACTTCTGGTAAACTGTCCTCGTGTCATATAATCTAATCCCATGTTACCTCTACTGAGCACCTGGTATCATCTTTCTTATTTAGGATGAGTTGTACTGACTGTCAAGAGTATCCCACTGATGATAAATGTAATAAACATCAGGGTTACACCGGTAGGTCTTAAAATAAAAGATTACCAAGTGTGGTAGCCTGGCTTTAGCTGCACACTAGCACTAATCTTTTTTCAAAGAATCTGCCAAGTGGTGAAATCCATTAATTGAGCAATATTACGAGCATAGTAGACAGTGTGCTTAGCTGGCATAGGCATAAGCCAGCAGGTCCATTCCTGGTTTTCACATGGCAGAGGAGAGATGGTAGTACCTTAAACTAATAACCCCTCAAGATCTGAGCACGTGAAGAACGGAAGGGTTTCTTTACCACGTCTCCAGAAACTTGTCGGTGTCCGGCTTCGGCTCCAGGGTGAGGCGCCTCTCCAGGTCGAAGCTGTGGATGGAGCGCAGCTTGCGCACCAGCGGCACCTCCCTCTCCGGCGGGGCGGTCTCGGAGCGCACGCGGAGCGGGGAGCCCAGGCTCGGGGCGTTCGGCACGCCGCTCCCCGGCCCCTGGCTGTTCTCCTCCTCCGTGCCAGCCTGGGCAGACAGCAAAGCAAAAACCTCACTCACCAGGAACGGCGAAACAGATGTGGTACTACGTGGTCAGTGTACTCGTAGTACGTGTTCCAGACGGCTGGAACACTTCTCCTACAAGAACAGGCTGGGAGAGCCGGGGGTGCTCAGGCTCTGAGGGGACCCTATTGC